GTGATGTCTAGATCACTTGATTTTAACATGACCCAGACTTGTACCTGTTATGGAACAAGTAAAGGTTTATTCCCTGCTGAATAAAGGCAATGTTTATTCTATGCTTTTCTTCTCTTTTCAGCATGGAATAAACCTTTACTTGTTCCTTTTCAGCCTACGCATGCTGATGCAGCTACCTACTTGAACTGCTTCTACCTGTTATGTCTAGATCAGTGTGACTTTGGCACAACCCTTCTCATACATGTGATATCTAGATTGCTGTGACTTTGACACGACCCAAAATGGTAAAGTACCTGTGATGTCTAGATCACTGTGACTTTGACATGTCCATGAAATGACCCAGACAGGTACAGTACCTATGATGTCTACATCACTGTGACTTTGGCATAAGCCAGACTCATGCCTGTGATATCTACTGTACATCATTGTGACTTTGTGACTTTGACATGACCCAGAATGGTACCTGCAATGTCTACATCATTGTATTTGACAGATCACTTTGACTTTAACCTGACCTTGTCTAGATCACTGTGACTTTGAAGAAACCCAGACTCGGACCTTTCAGGATCTTAAAATCTTGTATGAACACCGTCTTTTGTTCTATGTTCATTCCATTAACTGGTCTGCACAGATGCTTTAAGTTTGGTACTGATAACATAAGCGCATGCTCCTGTGATAGTAGGCACACATTCTGTTCATTAACCTTATTGTTCATGGTAATAATGAGACTATTGCCCTGTAGCAGATTGCGATTTCCTGGTTTAAGTTGTATCTTCTTTCTCTCCTCCTTTGTGGTTTCTGGGATAGACTGTGTTATCAATCTAGATTTGTGGGTGTTTGTGATGGTCTACTATGTTACAGTATATTTCACTTTTTCCCATGCTAGTATTCAGTAGTTTGCTTTACCATGGTATCATATGATTTCATCATAGTTTTTTCTATCTTGTCATGCTTGACCACATTCCTGCTCCACTTTCATAAATCTTTAATCTATTTTTAGAATGGCATACCACGATAATTTTTATAGGCGGTCCCTGTACCCATGCTGCTCTCTGTATAACAAAATGCTTGTTTTATTTAGGAAAATGTGTCCACCAAAAGTAGAAACTCCCCCACAACATCTGTTAACATATACAAAAGCTCCTGTTTCACTTAAACTCCTTCTGGTTGCACAGAGCTATCATCATGTCTGTTTTTCTAATTAATCTGTTTTCTCTGCTGTGACTTCATCATCTTGCTGTTTGCTTAAAATAATCCAGCACAAGGTCTTAGTGTATGTAAAAAATTGAAAGTACAATTATCTTTTGGGGCTTTGCGATCAGGAATCTGAAAAACAAACCAAACGGTTCAGTCAAAGGAACCGATTATGATGTGGCTCAGGTTTAAGATAAATGATGTTCCCAACTGGAGCGTAATCTGGACAGGTCTCAGGAGCTGAGCACAGCAGGTTACGGCCAGTCAGTACATTAATGGGGAACCTCTAAGATTGCTGCAGTGGTTGAAGGGATATCAGCAGGCTGGTGAGAAGCTATTTACTCAGGACCTTAAAATAAAAAGAAAGAAACCTTCCCAGAACATTAAAACCCTGTCTGCTTGGACAAATTCTTAAATCAAGCTTGATTTAACTCTGTGAAGACTTAAAAGGTCTAATTTTTGCTTCTTGCGGTTTGCAAATTGTAAAGAAAGAAACTAAAAAAAAATGCTGTCCTTCAATCTTCATTTGAACATGAACCTGACTGACACCTAGTTCCTCATATTTACTGTATATTAAATAAGCTATTTCTATCAATGCAATTAATATTTGTACAATTGACTTAATTTGTAAAGGCATAAAATACTAATTTGTCCAAATATCATCATTTTGCTAGAAACAAGCTATTTAAATTCAGTGAATGCAGTAATGTTTGCTTGGACCTTGCATTTCTCTTCAATTGAGCTGGTAGAATGACCTATTACTTTGTATATGTTATTATACTGTAGTTCCCTTACAGATGTAGGATACAGTATAAATACATTGGCGACCTCTGTGAAAATTGGATTTCCTCACTTATTGGTCAGCAGGTCACTTGATGGGAAGCCTTATTATCATGTACTGGGTCATTGTGCAGCATCACAAACAAATTGACCAAACAGTAACCTTTAAAATACAACTGCATAATTAGCACAAATCAGATGATCCAGTGTTCATACAAGCCTGTTCTGCTCTGATTTGGTTGGTTTCCAAGAGTGTTATTCTGCAGGCTCTGCACTGATTCTAACAGACACAAGATATTTCTATTGTCACACAACTGCTCAGAGCAAAGAGTTAGTGATCAAGCACATACAAATGATAGCCATGTTCTGCCCCAGATGTGATTGGACAACATACAGTAGATGTCTCAGCTCTGAGATTTATTCTTCTAATACTAATGAAGATCATCATACACCCGTACTTGTTAGGTACAGTAGCAGCTCTCCTCCTGATGCAGCTTTTCGATTTCACTTTAGCCTCTTAAGAATAACGATCTCCGATATCTTTAATTATTGTTAGAAGCAATAATAGTATACCGTGAATGTACGTTTCTATTGTATTCAGCATGAAACAAGATGGGCTTAGTTTGTCACATTTGTTATATTTAATAAGACAGTCGCAAAACGGTTGGGTTAATTCCTCCATGACCTGTGTTTTACAGTCCCTTTATTGGAATTGCAGCCTCCAGGAAGGACGAGGAAAAGACTTTTGGGGGTGTGAGGTTTGCTCTTCCGCCTTTCATAATTTGAAGGTGTCGACGCAGGGACGTCTGGCAGAAGACGGTAACCATTAATAAGTGTGACGCTGTAGCTGCGTCGTTAAGTAAGACAGTTCACTTCGATATCTTCGGATACTGTATCTAAAGTCGCACAGTTGTGTTGAGAAGTAAAACCACTGTATTGGAAACAAGCGAATTCATTCTAGACATGAATGAGGTCTATGTTTCCGAAAGCAAGGCACGTTGCATGCAGTAGGTTGTCTTCCCCTGCTTTTGCTTCCACCGACCGACTGTCTGCGTCTGCCTGTATCTCTATCCATCTTGGCAGCGAGTGTTTCTCTCTCCGGGGACGTTTGCAGTACATTAAAACACTCGGAGTCGATGCGTTTGTGTGTTTTATTTTGTTTAAAAAAAACGCCGTGGTCGGTGACTATTTTCCCCCCCAATTACTGAACTACGATTGTTTCAAGACGTTCAATCACCCGCCAGGTTAGTGGATAAGGTTGAAACGACCTTTCATCTGACCACGCGTTAGGTCCACACGGCGTCATCAGTTCTAAAGAGCCAAACGGATGATAAGGATTAGGAAAGGATGAAATTCCATTCCGCGTTTTGGCAGGAACAGCGGTCTCTCGTTTGTGCTGGTGAGAGAGGGAGCGGGCTGGGGAGGGGAGTGCTAGAAAGAGCAGGTTCAGTTTGCTATCATCAGAACTCAGCGCAGGGGACCCAGCGCCGCCGCGTCTTCTGCGCTCGCCTTATATATACACAGCCTAGGGAGAGGGTGAAAAAAACGCCTAGCTCTGTGATTTGGATGGCTATCGGGGGCACGACTAGGCGACAACCCCCCTCCCTTCTCTTTAATGACCTCACCGTTGCACCTGGAGAAACGCAGGTTTCTTCCCGATAAAATTACGGATTTAAATCAGCGAGATTTCAGGATTTTCGCCACCTCCGTATCCCCATTTTTTTCTGTTCAGCAACCGCGCTTCTAAAAGAAGATGCTAGCTTTTGTAGGCACCTGCCTATGGGGACTGTACGACTGTACTGGATTCTAATTATCCTAACATCTACCTGAAATAGTCTCTCCCGTTCCAGATTTTTCCTATTTTTATATACCTGCGCGGACAGAAACGCCTAAAGATATGTTTATGTCGAGCCACAAAAAGACGCGAATATACATTTCATAAAAGACAGCCGCAGAACATATTTGATGTTTCTTTATCATTATTACAATGGGAGTACTATGACCGCAAAATAAGAAAAATAAAAACTGCATCGTGTCATTCTTGCACACACACACCAGATTTGTAAAAAAATGCATGCCTATACCTTTGCCGAAGACCGCTTCAACACGAGCGATATATTTTTTTAAAAAGCACGTTTCCTTTTTTAACCATGGATTTTAATTTGCCTTTTTAATTATTTTTAACTGTTACTGGGAGTGTTTTTTATTTCTCATTAAAACCGCAAAGAGAAAGAGAAAACGGGTCTTCTGACAAAATAGTCTTTCAGAAATCGGGGACATGGACCGGAATACTCACCTACAGAATTTCTCCTGAGAAAGACCGGTATTTGCATAACATATCTAACGCGCTTGTATTTTTGTAGACATTTACAATTAACGAGTATTCTCAAAAACTCTGTTCGGGTTGGCCTTATATTTTATATTCTTGACACCAAGTCTGTTTTGTTTATATATTTTCTACCTTTCGAAGGATGGAAACATTCAGTATTTTATCAAATCCACTGTCATTAGCATCACATTGAATTGACTGCGGACCAGAATTTTGTTTTATGATTTTTACTGTTTTTGACCTGAAAGATAAACATAACGAAATCACCAACTGTCCTGAAAGAAAGGGTTGGAATTGTGGTCGTTTTGCCACAATTCGCCTTTTATGTGGGGGGTTGCCTTCGGTTTTTTTTTTCGGGAGATTTTTTTTTTGCACACACGCTCGGGCTGCCTGGAAGAGATCTACTTATTAATTTTTAATCTTTATGCAACCGCAAGACGAAGGGACAGAGGAAGAAAAACACAGCGGATAACGAGGGGGGAAAGGGGGAAGCGTGGAAGGAGAAAATGAACGCGGAACACTGAGAACGGAGGACGGAGATTGGAGGAAACAGGTAGGACATGAATCGGGGTTTGTGAAGGCGATTTGAGGCTCCAGATGCAGAACTGGACCGCAGTCAGAACGTGGGGTCTGTCTAGCATTTGACGAGCGAGCTGCAAGAATGCATGTAGCCCTGTTTATAGACCATCCTTCTACAGCACAACTGTTAATAATGTACATGTGGAAATGGTAGGTTAAATAAGTCGGGTACAGTATTTGCAAGCATGCGATATTTCGATGTCTAGCTTTCTATATATACAGTATATACACACGGATATACACCAAAGGAACTTGCGTTATGTGGGGTAACTGATACGGAGCGTGAGCATTTTATTAAACAGAATTTCTAGTAGTATGCCTGTCCATCTTTAATGTCTGGCAATTTATCTTCCGTCCATATTTGAAAGCGACACTCTCCGGTGCAGCTGTTGAGTGAGGAGAGATATTTAGTTTTTTGTCGGGTTTGTTGCTGACAGAATTGTCTTTTCGGTTTCAGGCTGGGTTATTTTATGACATTTCTCCCTTTTGCTCATACAGTCTCAACGGCAACTGTTAAGAGGGAGCTGATTAAAAAGGAGTGAACGGTTAACATATTAGAAAACAACGATTTAAGAAAACGCGATTGATTACGCGGATACTGAGGGTTTAACAGCTTATTTAGAGTGGCCGGGCTGTGGCAGTGTGGATACGGTGCCCTGTAATCAGAAACCAATTGCGCCATTGATCGTGGGGAGATGTGTATACGGATGACAAGTGACAAGCGGGGAGCCAGGTTTTATAAATGAGCGGGTAATGGACTCTCATAATAAGCTTCTCGGACGAATGGCTGGCCTACAAGCTGTAGTAGCGCGGTAGTGTATCCGCCCCTTCAGAAACGCATTTGAGGGGAGTGATGGAGGGAGGAGAGGAAACTCAGTGCCGATAGCCCTCTGTCTCCCCCCCCCCCCCCCCCATCCTTCTCTGTCTCTCCAGACCCGCCTTTACTGAACAACACCTTTATCGGGAGGTGGTTTAATATAAATGTTGTACAAGCGAAGACGCATAAGCCCATGTGAAGCTCAAATTTCTATTGGTACTCGCTGAAGTCCCCTGATAAAACACTAATATGCCATTTTTACCCTTTAAAAGATACGATAAGGACCAAGGTTGATTTTTCTTCTCTCTGTAGCTTATATATATATACTTTAAAGGATGGTGCATACAGTACATTACAGTTGTCACTGTTTTGAGTATGTCCCTTGTCGAATAAAAAATGCTATTCTTTTTTAATGTTTCTGAGATTCAGAACTGAAATAGGTCATGCCAATAATACATGAAAGTAGATGAGCCAACGCACATATCAATTACACGGCTAAGACGCAGATAGTGGATCGGATTGTGGGGAAAAAAATGTGGACCCCAAAAAGCTGCCTTTTTGGTAAAGCTCGTAAATATCACACTTTTAATTCATGTCATGCGAGATGTTTTGTAAAGGATGCGCAATGCTGACTACCATCATTGATATCAATATGTATTAGAATAATTATGCTTCCATAATGTTCAAGCATATAATTACTGCTGTTAAAACAGAAATAGATTACGGTAAAGATGCAAGCTTTTGGAAAATGAAGGTTCAATTTTTAAATTGTTTCTGTAGTCAGTCGTTCAGTATCGCGTAAAAAGAATCCATGTCGATACAGAGTTGAATTCATTTTATTCATCTCGTTACGTGTTGTTCTAATAACGTTTCAGTGAAAGTTAACGTCTGGCTTTTAATCCTTTCTGTTCTCCTGAAAGTGTAAGCCAGGCAAATTCCGCCCAATTTTAAAATAACTGTGTATCTACTGAAAGAAGACGAAATAAAAAAAATTAACCCAAGCAGTGCATTCAAATTCTAACCCCGGTTTTGTAGAAATGTAGCCTCCAATTAGGCTGCCCGAAAGAAAAGACGAAGCGGGTTTCAGAGACCTTGATCACGGTGTCGTTACGATGTGCTCTGGGTCTAACGTCATGTCGTCCAGTCGGTGAACTACAGTAGGAGTATCAGTGTGGTGCTGTTTAACTGGATACTCGGCTAAGGTCAAGCCAGCATTGTGCGTTAACGGGCTTGGCTGGTCTGATTGTCTGTCGGGTCACCTTTGATCTGTAGTGGACAACCAGCTGTCGCATCGGGATTCGAAAATGAGATGTGCTTTACCGGAAACCTTACTGTATTCTGGGAATCCAGGGACGTCTGGCAAGTGATATGTTAACTCCTCTAACTGGTTTATCGAGGCTGTATCTGTAGATGCTGTCCCTGCATTTTTCTGACTTCCAGCAGGTACCACCAGCACTTATCCAAAATGGAATGTCCAGCACTTTCGTGCAGAACTCTGCCGCTGTCTCACTTTGCTGTGTTGTGATCCTGCGCTTTGTACTGTAGTTTTGATTCACTGTATACTTGATGACTTTACATACATGGTGTAATGTTCTCTAATGACTCAAGTACCCAAGTATTGTGATTTGCAATATGATTTATATGCTAAAATATAATATTTATGATATTAGATAGTTGTATTCTGAACTTGTTTCGGACAGAATCATCCATAAAATAAAGTCCCAGAAACGGGTAAAGCCCATTGAAAAACAGTATGATTTATTTTAGAAATTGTATGCAGCAGCATAAACGTCGGTAAGTTGAGACCAAATGCATAACATTTCCAGCTTTCTCCATCCCATCTGTGTAAGGTTGTACAGACCAGCATGTGAGATTAGAAGGAACTATTACAAAAAGACACTTGGAAGACCTGAAATGGATACCAGCTGCTATCCACAGGGAGTTACCCTCAAATCATCATATTCATCATTCGAAGTTGAACCTTGTCTTCATCATGATGATGAAGCACAGTTATTGGAACCAAGGTCGCCTGGCTTCAGGCAAGTGATGGTGGTTCTTTGGTTTGTAGTCATTGTTGCCGACCCTATACTGAATCAAAAAATAGTTTTCTTTGTGTTGGAGAAGCAGTTGTACATACAGTATTTAGCAGGTGGGGTGTTGCAATTAGTCTGTATTAATAAAAATAGAGAACATTGTACTGATGAGCAGCTTCTGAAAGTCACATAGACGGGGTGTGGTGCTGTTTCAAAGACTGCAGTGAAATGAAATTCTCTTCAGCCTCCCTGAGCTGGTCTTATCATGGAAACAGAAAGTCCTACCAAAGGTCAAGGGAGCCAAGCTGTGGCGCAGCACACATTGTCGCCTGTTTTTTATTTTAAGTTTAGTTGGTTTCAGCTCATCACATACAGTGCATCATTTTTGCTTGCCATGGCAGATTCTGTTACTAACACTCGACACTGTAATTTTAGAAATGGTGCAACACAGCTCCATGCTCACTTGAGGACACCTGCAAGTTGTTGTTCTGTTTTTTTTGGCTTGTCCCTTGGGGTACATTCTAGGACATTTCAACTCTACAATGGCCACTGCGGTTTTCTTATCGCTGCGTGACAAGACAGACACGTCAGTGACTTTTTGGCGAAGAGAGTAATGTGTGAACGGAGTTTTCCTGTACCCCAACTCAGTTCCATCCAGCCATTTTCTAACCTCTTCTTCCAATTCAGGGTTATGGGGGAGCGGAGCCTATCCCAGCAATGGACACAAGGCAGGATCCTTCAGTCTCTCTCACCCAGGCTGTGCAATTGACTTCAGATGACCAATGACCAAGGGCCTGAAAAAACAACAACTGTTGTTGACTTTCTAGCACCAAAAAGAGAGAAAAAAAATATTATTAGTACATTTGAGTCTGCATGTATTAATGACCAAACCTGGTCCTGGGTTTCCACATAACCTGCTGATTTTTATCGCAGCCCAACTCTCTTACACAGTTCAACACGTAACTGACCCAATAATATGACTAATTTGAGCTGATAAGACGTGGCGTTTTCAGTTCTCAAACAGGCTGGAGGTGATTTTTTAAGTACTGCATTTTCCATGTAGCCTACAGTTCTAAACTTTTGATTAGGGGAAAAAAACACAACTTGCAAGTGTTCCAATCAGGCATTTTTTTAGTTTGATGACGGCTTCAGTTATGTACTGTAGTTACTGGGCTGGAATGAAAACCAGAAAGTGGGAGGCCTTTCAGGGTCAGAATTGGGAACCCTTGTCTTCCATTACACAGGTCATTAAGCCATTAAGCAGATGCCTAACATCCAGTGAGTAAAGCTGAAGAGAGGGGAGAAATATCCTCTGATTGCTCTTGTTCTTTTCCGTGCTGGAAGATGTGATGTGGCTCTATTTCAGTCAGAGGGACTGAAGGCCCAGTAATACTCGAAGCCCTACAGGATTCGGAGAACAGGAGTAATCCACTGCTAGTTATTTGGCTGTGTGCCACTCCTGCCACTTCATGAACAGATCAGAAGATCAGATGGCAGACTAACTGAGTTTAATAAGGATGGTGTTTATCTTAAGAAAGTCAGGCTAGGGATGAAATGAGCACCATGACGGACATCGTAGCGTTTTCAGTTGCAGAGAAAGCTTTGGCAGTCATAGTTCTGGACATCTGTGCTGCTGCTCACCTGGCCATAAGGCCGTTTATGATGCAAACATGCAAATAAATAATTAAATGTAGTTAATCCCGCAGTGGCCGGGGACTGCCTCATCCACTGAAGGCCTTGGCTCTTTCCCGGTTCTTAATCATTAGGTTTGGTTGTTTTCTTATGCCCTCCGCCTCATTAATTATGTAATAGGCGGCGATAAAGATATCGTAAAGATTTTCTGATATTATGGAAATGGAGGGGGTGTGCTGTGTGATGAGTTAAAAAAAAAACCTTTTCACTCCACTAATGGCATTTAGGCTTTCCTTTAGGCCTGGCCAGGATGCCTTAGAAATGAAAGGACTGAGCTTTCAAGGGCTTTCTTGGGTTAAAAAAATAATCATTTAAAAAGATTTGGTGTATGCAAGTCTTTCTTTCGGCTATTAATTGACTTCTGTCTGGTTTTGGAACTGGAACTAAAAAAATAAAAACACATAGCTAAAGATAAAAAATTTAGACCTACCTGTTTAAAAAAACATGAGTGACAGGGTGGTGCAGTGGTCAGTATTGCTGCCTTACAGCACTGGGGCCCTGGGTTCAATTCCGGACCTGGGGTGCTATCTCTGTGGAGTTTGTATGTTCTCCTTGAGCTTGCATGAGTTTCCTTTGGGTACTCCAGTTTCCTCCAACAGTTCAAAGCT